TATTTAAAAGACAGGTAGACGTGGTGCTTGAGGATATGGTTTAGTGGTGGACTTGGCAGCGACAGGTTAATGGTTGGACTCAATGATCTTAAGGGTCTCTTCCAACCTTAACGATTCTATGATTCTATGTCTTGCAGAAAATGTCACGCTAGGTTTTTTATTATAACCAAACCTCACAAGGTATATACACCTATATACTTCACACACCTATATACTTCACACAGAAGTTCAAACAATGCATTACTAAAAAATATCAACATCAAGCTTGTCCAAGCACCCAGAAGTCAGTATTATCTTTATCACATCTTTTTTCACTTCGTATTTTAAACTGTTATAATGGCAAGAGTAACTACTGCCATATATATTATGTACAAAGCAATACGAAAACTATCATAAAGACACAGTATCTGAAATGTATAACACTCTGCTCCCCAATTTCCACACTTGGGGAATGGTAGTGAAAATATACATATTTAAAAGTTGTCATTTGAAATTGTAATGATTTTTTTTATCCTTTTTTCTACTTGAAACTCAGACTTCATGGTGTCAGAAAGCTATGGTTAATATAAAGTCTATTTTTCTCTGAGTCTTCTCAAAAACCCTCCTTAGATGGCCATATTTTCCATAACATTATGTTTGGGAACATTATTGTGCCATTGAAATAAATCTGTATTCTCCCTACTTACTGCATGCTCATTCAGGTTTATAGGATTAAAGTTTGTGCATCTCAAAACCTCTCAGAGAAAACTAAATTGGAAACTCTGCACAAGAAACTCTGCAGGAAACTCTGTGGACCAAAAATGCCTAATGGAAACCCAAGGACAGATCCAAACTACACAAAGCTACGGGGTTTTTTTCATATCAATAAGCTTCACATATGCAGAAATAACTTCTTGAACTGGGACGCTGAGACAGAAAACTGAAGTGCATACACTCTCATAAAACAGGTATTAGATACTGAAAAGTGAAGGGGATTAATAAAACCACTAGCCCTGCTCTAAGGCTCTACCTGGTAAAAAATAAAGTGCAATTTTCCTATTGTTTGATTATTACTATATATTGCATTCAGAGTAACTAAACTGTAAAAAAAGTAATAAATCTACAGCAAAACAGGGGGAAAAAACCCCAAAGGAGCACTGATTATAAAATAAAGGTAGAGACATACTGAAAGATTCTTCTACAAAGGTATAACACTGCAATTCGAATCCTGAATTGCTGGAGTCAAAAACAAGATTTTCAAGAAATATGCATGGTCAAAGGGATAATTTTTCTTCAGAAGAAATCACTACAGCACAATCATATTTTATTGCCAGATGCACAGCAAGAATCACTTCTACAGTACTAGATAATTGGAAATTTCTTTCAACACCTGTACATCTATGCTCAGAGCAAGTATTTGGTGACTGTTAATCAAAGAAAACTCAAAAAGTAAAGAAGTCAATAACTAAGAACTCAAAGTTTTTAATTAGTAAGTTTAGTTTATGGAACTTCAAAAGGGACTGTAATGCAAGTAGCAAACACTGTTATCTGGCATTTACATTTTTCAGAACCCATAGTGCTTCAAAGTAAAACTATATTGGATATTAATGAATGGTATTAGAAAATGAAAGGTCAAGCAGAGAACAACAGAAGACATTACAAAATGCCTTGGAAATGGACACAACTAATACATTCCCCGCCCCCTTGTCCCATGTCCAGGAGGTATACTGTGGCTATTAATACATTAGGAACTTTAAGGCAGAGTTTTTCTTAACCAAAGAAATTCTTGATCCTTAAATCTAGTAAACAGATTTAAGCATTTCTGCTGCACTCATGCACTGGCTTTGGCTGAGATAGAGTTAATTTTCTTCATAATAGCTGGTGTGATGCTATGATTTGGTTTTGATTTGGATAAAAGACATATATACTTAGTGATATAGGCAAGTTTATATTTTGCTAAATTTATGTCCTTTATCACACAGTATTTGCAAAACTTCCTCAGTGAGAAAAAATAATTTTTATATTATTTAAAGGAAATACATCTATTTCCATAGAAACAACTCCTTTCTTCTTACATTTTTTCACGTGATGACACCATATACGGAAATTACTCTTTAAGCAACCATTTAACCAAATCTGCTTATTTCAAGAAACAGTGGCTCATTACTTTATCCTAGGAGAAAGCAAAAGCAGCAAATGTCCAAATATGTATAATATACTGACAGACCATGTTGCTTTTCTTATACTTTTTGGAAAGTCCAAGACAAATTCCATCATGAACCACATTCGAACAATTAAACTTGAAACACAGTTTTACTTATTGGCTCCTTTCCTTGCATTCCCTCTTCCCCATCAGCCTGTATCCTTCTTCCCCACCCTTTATCTTATGTTTAGATAATATTTTTGGTTCAGGACTTAGCCTATGGTTCTGCATTTGAATGATCAACACAAGGTGCTTCCAGTCTGCAACCCGTGTTAGATGTCACAGAGCTTGTGACAGACTAAACCCCAGGGGGTGGAATGTGACTCACTGAACAAACCCCTACAATGGAAGATTGCTGGTGGAGGTGGGCAAGGGGATGTGCCCACAAAGCTCAGGGAATAATGCAAAGAAGCTGACCTTATCTCAACACAAAGGGTGGCCTTTGTTTTAGATAAACAGCTATCAACAACTGAGTAGATCAACTGGTGGTATAAATGTTTCTCCTTGAGTTCATTAAAAGAGTGTATCTCCCAGAGGAGCATGGGGGGAGTGAATATGTGGCTCAGCCCAGGCACAGTATAAAAACTAGACAACTAACAAAAGAACTTGGAACAGAGCAAAGGGCTGGAGCTGGCTTCAGCCCATGTATTCCTTCCTGGGAACTGGGGATGCTCAGCGTTGTGATGGTGAGCATATTACAGAGACCGGTAATGGGAATCACATTGGTATTGTGACTAAACCGTGTATTGCAATTCCTATATTTTGCTAAGCGTAACTTGCATTTGTATTGAGTTTTCAGTGTAGTTTGTATCACTCTGCTAAATCAGAAATGCCATGTAACATCAACTGTCTTCAAACAAGTAAATGTGATCATTACACCCTCCATGCATGGAATATCTAAAAGAACCTAGTCAGAGTATTGGACTCTGACAGAGAAGCACATAACAGCTGCAGCTCATTCTTATTTTGGTTGAAGTGAACAAACCAGCACAAATACCTTCTATATCCAAATATCTTCTATACCTTAAAAGGAATACCAAAGTTAGCCAGTTAAAGATTAACTTTTCATCCTGTAGCACACTACTACAAATATGGCCTCTAACAAGTTCAAGAAAAAAAAAAAAAAGAAAACTCACAAATTTAATACTGTAAAAGACACTGGAAAACAACTGATTTAAGTTCATTCTTAAATTAAGTATGGACATTCCTACTACTCTGAACTCCTTTTGTGATTGCGTATTAATTATAATAGCTGTGATATTAACTAAGGCTACAATAACTACCAAACGTATAGATGGCTACCACTGGTTAGAATACTTTACCTGGAGTGAAGAAATATTTGGGTGCCTAGATTCACAGATATTACAGAGAGAATACCTGAAGAACCTGGACAACTTTATCTTGCAATAAGACTATATATACCAATATCTGATAGCTGTGGACTTACGTACAAATCCCTACTTGAACATGTAAGAGACTAATATGAGACTTCTAAATAAGGAAACACACCCCTAGGTTAAATGAATAATATGCTGAGTTACAGACTGTAAAATGCATGAACTTTTCAAAGTTCAGAAGTATGATCACAAAGCTCTTACAGCAGAAAATGTTTAGCCCGTTCCAGATTTTCAAAACCACCTCCCTCAGGCAGACAAACAAAAACCCACCAGTGCACTTGACAAGAGATGCTGTAGAAATTCCAAGGTACTTTTACAGGTAATATGGGCTTAGAATACAAAGAAGAACAAGATCATTAAAGTACGGATCAACTACTTGTTTTTCGTAATGCACATACTGCATTTCATTCATCACCACTTAAGTCTTACTTTGCACCATTTAGATGGTGCTTCAGTTCTAGCTGTTCTGTTGGCCCTGCTTGAGCAGGGTGGGTTGGAGCAGATGATTTCCAGAGGTCCCTTCCAACCTCAACCATTCTGTGGTTCTGTGACCAGGTAGCACAAGGGGAAGTACAACTGCCAAAGACGAGCAAAGACTTTCGATCCCTCTTGTAAGTGGAAGAATCAAGAGGAGTACATTTAGCAGTATTTAGGCATTCAACAGCTTTCTCAGTTCATGTCCTACAAGGTAGGACAAAATGGTGCATGTAAGTGTTCACTGCACCTGTTAACTGCAACAAAAAAAGTGGCTTATAACATAAACTTTTAGCTTCAAGTCTCAAATAGAAAACTCAGAAGGGTCCATTTCCAAATATATAGGGATTTCACACTCCCTTTTACATGTGCAGAAACATATGTGGAAAAAAATCTGAATACTTATGCCACTTTCCAGATATGAAGCATTTTTATTGCTGCAAATGCGAATGTTGTAGACAATTTGCACCAAAGAACCCTAAAACAATGGTTGAACACATCTTGTCACTGAGATCAGTTTAGGGTCTGAAGAACCCTCCAGAGGCTCTAATAACGACATAAAGTCTAAGTAGAAGGCAAAATTAGATGTCCAGGATTAGGTTGCAATTCTCTATCAGAGAACTAAAGTTCTAAAATTTCTGGCTATTTGGAAAAAATAAAGTTTTTCGTTAGTACTTCAAAATATTATTAAATTAACTTACTGAATTTATCACTGAAGTTTCATAACTGTATGATACACTGTCTTTATGAAAATCATTTAACAGTTCGCCTACTCACTTTTCCACTGTGATCAACTAGAAGTGAATGGACACGATTATTCTCAAAGAGGATAAAAAAAAAAAAGGTAGTGATACAGACAGGTAGTCATACAGACATGCACGGGTTCATCTCCAGTAGCTCCTATCACCAAATACCATTTTAGAAAGGCAACTGACAACATTAGAACAGGACATTAACTCTGGCTGCCAATAAACACGGGCAAAACGTGTGAAAATAGCGTGAGGAGGTTAACGTTATGAGCATCAACATAGCCTAACGTTGCAAAGAACTCTGCTTCACAGCTCTGTAGTAGAAACTCTTAATTTCCTGGTCTGATACAGGTATAGCTGTCAGTACAGACAGTTACGCATAATGCCTTTTTTCCTGAAACAAAATAATTTATTATTTTGGAAAGGCTGCTCTATGTTGCTGTAGAAAATAGCTAGTCATGTAGCTTATAAGCAAGTAACTGTAAGAGGAGGGGATTACTTTCACAATTAGCTAAAGAAACAGTATTATGAGACAGCATTGCAAAAGCCAGTGAACTATTTTCAGCAGAGGAAATAAACTGTCGTAAGGAGGGATGCAGGGTGCAGCATTAAATGAGTCTGTACCCAGAGGGGCCAGAAGTCAGAGATATGGTATACACTTTGAAATCCTTTCCTATCAATAGGAAAACTAAAAACCATATACAACACCTTTTGTTCTCTTTAATTATCCATGTGCAGCTTTCATGGTCCACAGACGAATAGAGTTTTCCTTCCATCAAAGGAGGCTGGTCTTTCAGTGTAACACATATGTCATCAGAGGAAAAGTGTACTTTTATGTCATCCTTGGTGATGTCTTGAGGAATGTGAACTGTTATTGTCACATCATCTTCAGTCTGCTGCCAGTAATAGAGAGGGTCTACAATTGAAACATGCAGAAAAATACAAACTAGATTACAAATGCTGTCCTGGATTCCACAGAATGCAATGTCGGGAGATATGGAATAGAAGTTTGTAGAAGAGTCGAAATTAACGTTCACTGAACAATTTATGTAAAATATATTCTGATTATAAAATGAAGAAACTTTTTTTTAGCAATTAAGTTCATTTGTGCCCCTTGTCTAGAGAGGAATTTATATTCATGTCTATACTCAAATATGCTGATAGAGTTATACAATGGGCATTAACTATTACTCTAAGTTTATTGTAGCATTCAAAATCAATAACCAAAATGTACTTAAATACACTGAGACGTTAATGATTAATAATTTGGTTGAAGAGACCTCAGGTGCCAGTGGTACTGACAAGCTACTGCATGCTCAGAAGTATATGCCACTGAGAGATCTGAATATTTTTTTCTTACCTATTTTGCAAGAAAATACGCTGACTATTCAACAGAAATTATTTTAGAAGACTGAGTAGTCTTCATCTGCCCCAGCTGATGGAGATTAAATAAAACTTCCTGCCCAGAGGTAATGCTTGACTTTTGCCCCTGGGTCTAGAATCTGTCTGATGTCTATCTTGATTATTAAACTGCTATAAGAAGTGGCCTTTTAAGAGAAATGTTTATACAAAAGGAAAGCTATGACAGCATGACTCGGTAGTGCACAGTTGTTCACAGAAAACACAAGTACGAATGCATTCATTTTCTAAAGAGCAATCTTGTACATTCTTTATCTATTTTGCAAAATCCTATAAAAATTAAGAGCTCTATTTCTGGCACATCTTGTTTCATTATCTGATATCTATTATGCCTGCAATTTTATATAACCATGCAACTAAAATTATAGCCTACATTAGGTTTAGCAAAAGACAAATTCTCTATTAAAAAGGTATTAGACTTCCCTCGAAATTAGTTCAGGTGTCAGTACTTTCTCTACCATTAGATTTTTGTGCCATGAGAAGTTTTCTAAAGGTACTGCTGCAAACAGTAGTCCACACATTACAGGTTTCTGGGCCTTGGCAACACCGTATGTGCACATACATGGATGAAATGAGCTATCCTAAGAGCCATATAGTGCTCTTTACTGTGTTTCTTTAATCACACCTACTCAACTACCTAATCAACTCAAGAAACTCTTAAAATTCTTAAACCACTGAAGTAGCTAATTCAGGTGACAACTGCATAGACATTGTATTATGGTGATCAGTGCACTGAAGAACTCCTTTGCCTCAAGATTTATACACACAGACTATTCGTAATACAATTACATGTATAACGTCACAGTTATCACAGCGTATAACATCAACACATTCCAGAAAATTGACCTTTTTATACTGTTTCCCAAACAGATTTTTGTACCATTGACAAAGACTGTGCTAGTATCATTCAGTTAGGATTCGTTCATTAACCAATGTCTCATATTCAGAAGCAAAAATCAAATCTGAAACAATAAAATATAACTGTATAAACATACAAATTGCAGAGCTCAGTGATATTTAAGATGAAACAACTTTATTAATAGGTTTTTACATACCTAATTCTGTTTTGATCTCAAAGAAAAAAAGTATGGATGCCTTTTGTTGAAGTTTATTATTTTTTCTGAACTGCTTTCCCACTGGAGAAAAAAATAATTTTACAGGACTCTCGTTCTTTGCAATGGAGAAGTTTTGTTTGTTTGTTTGTTTTTAATTTGGAAAGGCAGGAGTAAATTACATATCAGAGAGCTTTCTGATGAGAACTATTTGGGGGAGTCAATGGATGCTACACTGCCCTCTCTTATCTAGGAAGACTGGCTTCTTAATTTGAGTACTTCAGCCAGATGCCTAAGTTTAGGTGCTACCTTAGCAATTCAACTGCTAGCAAATACATAGTGTAGTTCTGTATGCAAAATATCCTTTTCCTTAGGACAACAAAATTCTTTAAGTGTCTCCTATCCAAAAAAGCTTCTCATATAGGTTTATGCACAATATAACTTCCCAGGGTGAAAACAAACAAAAAAAGCCAATCTGTGCTTAAAAAAAAAAAGCTGGAAGATAGATATTAAGACAAACGTTTACTGCTACAATTTCCAAACAGATGCTAAACTGACAAGCTACTTTCTAAGCCAAAAGAGAATAGCCTATCATAATCTGCCAGATAAGTCTTACCTTTCTTTTCATTTGCTGCTTTTGCATCGTCATTTTCTTCTAATTTGTCATCTTCATCTTGCATAAATTTGAATGGTTTGTAGGAAACAATCATTAGACCGTCCCCGCTTGGCTCTATTGCTGCATAATGGGGGACTGATTTTCCTTGTAAAACTCTCCTTTTAAAGATTTCATATCTATGATCACCTATAAAATAATAAAAAAAAAAAATCTAAGTGGTAACGTTTTTCTAGAAGACAAATTATTTTAAGATAATGTCATTACACTTAAAAATACTAAGCAATCCTACCAGTAAAATCACAGTACCATAGTTTAAAAAGAAATTTCTCACAATTCTGTTTTCCAATGAGTTTGCTAAACATGTAGACCCTAAAATTAATCTAACATTGCCCTTTTTTCTCATGATGGCTTTGTTAATCACAGTTAGCCCAGCAATTCATAAAACCACTCACAGCCTCTGTACAAACAAGTTTTCCAAATACTTTCTGAGCTACTGTAAAAACTTGAAAAGCAATGAAATAGCTAGTGGTAACACTTTATTCATAATGGAAAATGCCCATCTTCCTCAACTCTTGTAAAACACTGCCCTTTAAAGGGGAGGTCGCAGAGGCTGGCTACTGGCATCAATGACCATGCCATTCTCTACTGTGCTCCCAAACACATGAGAACTGATAACTCAAATCACCAATAAGGTGACAGGTTCTAGGACAACGTTTGTTCTTTTTCCATTACAATCTTACTGCCCACAGATTCCTCCGTAATTGATCAGCTTCTGAATAATAACAGATTGTACCAATGGATTTTTAGTAAAAAAGTAAAACTTGATACAATTCTCACAGGTGATAAAATTATCCACAGGAATTGTTTAGGTTTTCACATTTATGCTTCATCTTTTCATTAAATCACTGTACTTGTAACTACAACTTTACTTGAAAGAAACTGGGAACTCATTAGCAGAGACATTAGACAAAATCAGATTATGATGGTAAAAATCACCTATACCACAGCAGTACTCCAAAATGTGTTCCTATTTGACCTCAATGTTAAGCTTAGAGGAACATCGAAATCATAGGAGAATATAGATAATAATGGATAAGTCAGGTATAATTTAGGTCCTCTCAAGCAGTTATCTTGTTTTGCTAAGCAAGAAGTGGTGTAAAGAGTAATAACCACACTATCACGTAATTCTGGTACTTAGTGGTGTTAATTAAAGCCCCCTCCTTTTCCCTAAAAAGTTTGATCAGGGCAGGAGGGTATTAATTGAAGAGATTCAACCATTCTAATTAGAGACAGAGTAGAGAGATCTATACAATCAGAAGACTCCAGGCAACAGGGTAACCTGCTTTAAAAATTAACAAATTAACTCAGCTTAGATACATGACCAAAAAGAGCATGTCTTTGTGTAGTGGGAAGTTAGCCACTCATTGAACGAGCTGTTATTTAACTGACCAAATTTAATCGTGCACTGAAACATCAAATTTGTCTGCATGTCTCTCTTACAGCATTTGCTCACTTATTAAAAGGCTCTACAACCTCACAACTTGTCATTGTGTGACCAAACCTTTTGTAGGGTATTTTCAATCAATCATCAACACTTTTACATTTTTTAAGTAAGCCTTTATGATCTTTTCAGTAAGTTTATATCACATGATTTTTCTTGTAAAGAAGGTCAGAAGAAAGCTAAGCATGTAACATTTTCTAAGTCTAATAAAGCACCATGGTGGTTCTTCATTTCAAGCTTTTACAGTGAGGATTCCTAAAACATTAGTTAACTAAAGAAAACAACAAACTTTGAAAAGGTCTACCTGTGTCACAACCCTCTGAAGTACCACACAAGATGTGGACAGACCTAATCCCTGCTTCCATTCAGATTTATTTTCATGCTTCCATTTTTTGCTCTTTGGTAATACAATAGTGGTAGGCGTGATCACTTTGTCTAGCCAACCAGACACGGCAGAGACTCTCACAGTTGTTGGTGTCAAGACACATAACTATGTTTTGAGGCTGTGCTTTGATGAAGCTTAGATTTTGGTAATTTGAGAAATGGCTTGTTGATTAACTACTTATTTTTGCTACAATCTGATTTGATAAACTGCACCCACAGGCAGAGTTTCAAGAAAAGTTAAGCATAGCAATTGACTACTGAAGAAAGAGGATGCAAAGTATTTTAATTCCTCAAAACAGCTTTTATCTTCGAGACTGGTTCATACATGACTCTGATTTGCAAGATGCTTATTTAAAAGAAATCAAAACTTATTTATCTCTTCATAATTAAAGTTTGCTTTGAAACTTGTTATTTACATCTCTGCTGACTGTAATTACAAAAATTTTGTCTGCTACTTGGAAATGCTGGAGAACTGGCAAGATTTTTTGAAAGATTTTTAAATCCACTTTTATGGAAGAGTTTCATTCCATGAACATTTGTCTTAAGTGATAAAAAACACACTGTAAAAAAGAATTTGTTTATGAAAATACGCAGTATTATGAAGTATAACAAAAGTTTGTGTTACTGTTCTCTTTAAGCAATGGTCTTCAGTTCTAGACTGGCAGTATTACTGATTTAATTTTTCTTACAAGATATAACCAGTAGTGTTCAGAGGTTTCTTTCTCTTGTTGAGCTCGCCACAAAAGCATAAGGCAATCTCATGTGGCTTTCTGGCTCTCTTAGAAATATTTCCATCATCCAAGGTTTCAACAGCAGACAACATGAATAAAGCCACTCATTCTCCTATCCATACTATATATGTAGGAGACCAAGGAACATTTGGGTAGTAACATCGCAGTATGCAATCAAATGCTTTAGTTCAAGTAAAGATCTAGTTTCTATTGGTACCAAAATTATACTTTTTGGAAGATATTGAACGAGACCAGATCACAGTCTTCCCAAAAAGGTAAATTAATTTAATCCACACATCTTTAAATCAGATGCCGAAGCATGGGGTCTTGTATCCTTTATAGGAATCATGATATTTAACGTATATATGGTCATACTGAACAGGTAAATTACCCTTTGCCAAACTTTATTAGGATAATACATTAATCAGTAGGTATTAATAACACCAACTAATATGTTTTTAATGTGTTGGTCTAAAATTAACTGAATAACTTCATACTCTCTTTTTATTACTTTTTATGCTACAGTTTTTTATTTATCTCATACTAATTCCAATCCCATGACACTGTTAATTGGAGGCTAAAAAACCAACAAAAAAACCAAAAGATAACCAAACAAAACCCCATATCCAGCTGTACAAGATTTTAAAAAGTATAACAGACATTAGTTAGAAATAGTTCTGTATAACCTCAATTTTACAAGATCAAGCTAAACAGGAATTGCATTTCATAATGTCACAAAATAAAGTTCTATCTATCTTGTTTTCTAATTAATGACACACGTATAAAACTTGACTTCTTCCTGTCTTCCAAGTGTTTGTAAGAATTGAAGTCTAAAACCGATAACTTGATCTCAAAATATAAGAAAAAATTACCTATGTAAAATCCAAGCTGAAGTTTTGGAAAAAGGAAATATCAGAACCTGAGGAAAAATCAACTTCTGAGACAAAAGAATAAAAGCAGGATTTTTTTTTTTAACATTACTCACCAGTAATATAAATGTAAAACACTTACCCTCTTTGCTTATCTCTGCAATTGTAACCCATTCCAAGGTAATATGAAATCCACTTCCTTTTGTGTCCAATTCATCTTTTTCTACCCTAAGCAGCAGCACAGCTACTGAATGCATATCAGATTTTACAAATGAAACACTGTGTGCTATAATAAATGGACTTCCTAGTTCTTCATTAAATGCAATCTAGAAGACAAAATTGTAGTAAAAAAAGTCAGTTAAAACTGGAAGTCTTGCTCTTTCTCAGAAAGCAGTGAAAGGCTTCAGTGAATGTCAAATCAGTTAAAGTTTGCTTCCCACAAACCTCTCTGCTAATATGAATCCACGAATGTCATACATTTCTGGTTCCTCCCTCCTTGGCTATCAAGCCACTGTTCTGAAATGCTTTTAATTATTATTGTTTATATTATAAAATCATTATAAGGGCCCATTACACAAAGCACAAAGACCCACAAAACCACTTGCATTACGGCTGTTTACTACTACAACAAGTAGAAGTACAACAACTGATCAACAGAACAGGATCCATAAACATAGCGTATCAACCAGGGAAAACAGTCTCACACTCAAGACGAAAATATAGGCACTTCATCAAGGCCCTCACTACTTCTCTAGACACCCCAACGTGCTGAAAATCTTTGTAGACCTTGACATGCGCAAACAAGAAAATAAAAAGGTCCACTGCATTACTGTCAGTGTTTAATCATCAAACAGTACTGAAAGGAGAGGGGCTCTCTTTATTTGCCTGCTACCTTTACAAAGAGATTCAATTTTCCTTCTCTATAAAGTTTTATGAAGTGGAGTAAGAAACAAAAACCTACAACTAAATGAAGGAGTATAATATTCATGTGTAGGAGGAGCTACGGATAGAAGTTTTTGAATTTTTATGTATACGGTTTGGAAAAGCGCATCCGTATTTGGATGGGACTAGGTAGGCAGAGTACATAAATAATACTGTCATATAGAAAGGCTGTTGTGGTTTAACCCCAGCCGGCAACTAAGCACCACACAGCCGCTCACTCACTCCCCCCTGGTGGGATGGAGGAGAGAATCAGAAGAGTAAAAGTGAGAAAACCCATGGGTTGAGGTAAAGACAGTTTAATAGGTAAAGCAAAAGCCACACATGCAAGCAAAGCAAAGCAAGGAATTAATTCACTGCTTCCCATGGGCAGGCAGGTGTTCAGCCATCTCCAGGAAAGCAGGGCTCCATCACGCGTAATGGTTACTTGGGAAGACAAACGCCATCACTCGAATGTGTCCCCCCCCCTTCCTTCTTCTTCCCCCAGCTTTATGTGCTCAGCATGACATCATATGGTGTGGGATATCCCTTTGGTCAGTCGGGGTCAGCTGTCCCAGCTGTGTCCCCTTACAACTTCTTGCGCACCCCCAGCCCACTCGCTGGTGTGGTGGTGCGAGATGCAGAAAAGGCTTTGACTCTGTGCAAGCACTGCTCAGCAATAACTAAAACATCCCTGCACTATCAACACCGTTTTCAGCACAAATCCAAAACATAGCCCCGTACTAGCTACTATGAAGAAAATTAACTCTACCCCAGCCAAAACCAGCACAAAAGCTAATAAGCACCACCATAAACGTGAAATAATTTCATACAGAAGGACTGCACTTCTTGTAGCATGAGACATTTAGCAGTTGGTACCTATAGCTGGAAGTTTTAATTCTACAAATGATGTATTTCAGCTGTTCTCAAAAAAGTACTCATTCAGCAAAAACCCCAAGAAGATAAAAACAAAATTAATCCAAATGGCAGAGAAGAAGAAGAAATAAAACATTCTTTATTTGCTAGAACATTAACACATGAAAATGAAAGAATAAATGACAAGGAATTCAAGCTGCGGCGGCTGAATGAGTCTAGGCTCAATCCAGCTGTTGTTACTGAAAACTGATAAGGTTTGAGGATTTATGGGGTTGGGAAGTTAATATCACTGTAAACCACTGGGTGCCCTAAATACTCAAAAAGTGAATTTAAATGGTGACAGAACCTCAAGATATAAATGTCATGTTTTTGTTATACTGCCAACTCCTATTTATGTACCAACACTCTCGCACAGAACAGAATAAAAACCAGTTGGTATTTATTACCAACCACCTAAAGAATAAGATGACCTAGTTACTGAACTCTCAAAAGATGTAGGGGAAGGAGCTCATCAATCATGCTGAAATCTTCCACTTCAGGACATATACCTGATTTCCTCCCAATACTAAAACCTTGATTGCCTAGGAAACTGCCCTCTAAAAAAGCAAATAGATGCAAAATGTGAGAGCTTTATACCAGATTTTTATTTCATTAATAAAGAGGAACTAACCACAGACCATGAGACTCAGTAGCTCAGGTAGAAATGTAACTTGATTATATTTGTTGTGTCCAAGCAGGATAACCAAAACCATTATCAGTGTAGTAAGATCATTTTGATGTGGATGCAAAAAATGCTCCTTATCAACACTCTTTAAAAGAATTATGTAAACAATTTAATCACGAGAAACATAAAAACATACTTCAGTTACAACCAACTGTAATATAAAAATATAAAAGTATTAAGCACCAATCCTTCTCCAGAGCTAAGTGCACAGTATGAAGATTTTCCCTACCAGAGAGGTGGAAATATTACTGCTTACATTATACCTGCTCTGCAGGTAACCCTCAGGGTTACTTATCAAAGCTTTTTAACCACCAGTTTTGTTTAAGTTTTATTCTAGTCTCTGTGGATGCTTTTTTAAGATGGGGCAAAATAACTGGTGAATATTTCAAGCACAATTACATCTGCACAGACCAACATCACACAAACCAGAAATTACCTAACTTAAAAATAAAAGTAGCTTTTAGCTTGGTTGACATTCATTTCAAACTTTGTAAAAAAATATATATGTTATTCCACAGACCAGTGGAAATAGCAAACAATAAAAGATGGGGGAAAAAAATCCTAGACACACACATATGAACAGGGAATGGAAAACAGAAACGTGTTTTAGAAAAAGTTCTGCTAGACAAGCACATATCCACCTATTTAGAAACACTCACTTTTACTTAGATTTTTCTTCAGTCAAAAGGCTGTTTCCTTTCAAACATTTGAATTTTAAATATCTTGTGCATAAAGAAATCATTAATTTAGTCATCAGTTTGAACACAATCCTGTATCAGTGATACAGTTATGATTTAAAGCTTAATTCTTCATAACATTACATACGTGCAATTCTCATAAGAAATACAAGAATAAGAATTATTTGGTAGATGTACAATTCTTAAACATGTTATTGCATGACTTACCTCCCACTTTTCAGATGCACTGTTTCCACGCTTGCCTGATTTAATTAAATACAGTCTTCCTGTACCATCAGAAAGGGTAACCCATGTGGAAGATGAGAAGTGTATTGAGGCACAAAGGCGATTATCATAAGCTGTCAAGTCTGTAGGTAGCCTGAAAACTTCTCTTGGTTTTTGTAGAGCAGTGTCCTAAAGCAAACAGTCACACACTAAGACTTTATGAAGTATTTATCAATTTCAGTAAGTATTACAGACAAAGTAAGAGTAACAAATCTCAGCAGCAATTCACCAGTTTCTTTTTTGCAAATATGCTCAACTGCACAAAGCAGGTAGCAAACGTCATTCCCACATTTGTGGAAAAGGTGGTGGAATTTCATAATTCAGTTGGTTTCTATTTACTGAAAACATGAGTGTTCTATAATTGACATTTCAGCACTCCATTTTTTTTCCTTCCATTTTACAGCACTAATTACATTTTGCATTGAAAAAAAAGGCTTTTCACTTCTTTTCCCCTAGCATGCTCATATAATTAATCACCTACCTTAAATAATTCTAGTCCCAGTAAAAATGCGGAGACTTTAAAAGAAATGAAAGTCACAGAACTGTACTCAAACTAATTCATAAAAACTCACTTCTAAATTAAAAAGAATTTTAGCCTATTCTCTTACACAACTGGTATTTTCAAGCTGATATGTAATTTCTCAGCTTTCCTAGAGTGGTTATTTTATTCAGTAAGTTAGAGAAGTAACAATTGTGATTAGCTAGCAAGGAAAAGCTGTACTAATTCATATCATATTTGCAAATAACTTTTCCATCACATTATGATTATACTACGCATCAGGCGTAAATTTATTTAGCATCCTGTGTCAGTGGCACACTGCAATCTTATTTTTTGTTTTTAAGCCAAACATAGATAGCATAGATAGTTTTTGAGCATGAATAAACAGAGACACTATAATGAACAAAGTGCACAGATGATACAATTCTCCAGTGAATAACAAATACATGTTTTTTTAAAAAATGATACATATCACTAAATGTTAAAAAAAACAAAACAAAATGGAAAAATCCAGTATTTCTTGCTGCATAAACTTTCCACAAATCAGCCTGACTGAATAATATTGCAAAATGAATGTTAGATTACCAATTTCGTCTATATTTCTAGTAATTGTTCTCAGAACTCCTGCTTTAGTTCAGCGTTGCCTTCTTCATTTCCTGCTATTTCTAACAGAAGAAACTGCTTTCCTGCTGTGAATTGGATTTCCAGCTGTTGTCATTAAGTACAAAGGCATGTCTTCCAGGGTATCTTTTAGGGATTATTCTTTATCTTGTGCCTTCACTCTTACATACAGCCCTTTCTTTGCTGAATAAGACTTTGTAAGTCTCAGCTCATTATTTGGCTTGCAGAATGTCAGCAACACTGCTGCCTGCTTAGAACTACGATTTACCTCCCTTTTTTGAGTTGAAGTAATCTCTGAATATCCAAGAGGCTTGTTAGAAAAAAAAAAAAACCTGGCCAAATCTTTATGATTTGAAAAGAATTTGGCATCACAGTTTAAAAAATGGTCAGGACATGCTTATCAGCTATAGAGCTTTATCTGCTACTTACTAAGCAGATCAGGCTGCAGCATTAAGAGCACAAACAAAATATTCTTACAGAAAAACATAAGATGCAGACTGGAGATTCAGCAACATCATAGTCAGATCTCTATAATCTTTCAAATAACTGAAATAGAACTTAATTGCTTCAAGTTTTGCAACTGAACTAAGTAGTTGCTAAATAAAACAGGCTGTCAGTCGGTCACAAGTGGGGTCCCCAGGGACTGATACGAGGCCCCACGCTGTTCAACATCTTCATAAATTACCTGGATGACACTAAACTAGGTGATGAGGTAGACATGTCACAAAGGAGAGCCATCTTGCACAGAGACCCAGATAGCCTGGAAGAGTGGGGTAGCAAGAACACTGTAAGGTTGAACAAAGACAAGTGCAAGGTCCCGCACCTGGGACGGAATAACCGAAGAGCCCAGTACCAGCTAGGATCTGTGTGTCTGGGGAGCAGCTTTGCTGAAAGGGACCTGGGGTTCCTGGTGGACAACAAGCTGAACATGAGTCAGCAGTGTGCCGCTGCGGCAACAAAGGCAAATCGGATCCTGGGCTGCATCTGCAGGAGAATTACTAGCAGCGGTAGAGACGTGATCATCCCACTCTATGCAGCATTTGTAAGGCCACACCTGGAGTACTGTGCCCAGTTCTGGTCCCCACAACTGAAAAAAAGACATGGTCAGACTGGAGAGGGTCCAAAGGAAGGCCATGAAGATGATCAAAGGGCTGGAAAACCTGCCCTATGGAGGAAGACTGAAGGAGTTAGGTCTTGTCTCCCTGAAGAAGATTCAGGGAGGACCTCATCACAGTATTCCAACACTTAAAAGACAGCTACAAAGGGGCTCCCTTTTCATAAGAAGTCACATCGAGAAGACAAGGGGCATTGGGTAAAAGTTACATCAGCAGAGGTTTCATCTTGACATAGACAATTTTTTTGCAGTGAGAACAATCAATGACTGGAACATCATCCCCAGGGACATGGTAGAATTCCCACCACAGGAGGTTTTCAAGACGCAACAGGCCAAGGTGCTAGATAATCTCATCTAGGCTCATTTTCCCATGGAAGGTTGGACCATATGATCTTTTGAGGTCCCTTCCAACCTGGGCTGTTCTATGATACTAAAAAAATGGTGGACACTAACTATGATTTTTAAAAAAATAATAAGTATTCACCACCTTGCCCCTTATACTGACTGATAGACTTCAGGATCTGATGCGGTCTCCAAAAAGGTCTTTCAGTAATAACAAACAAAACCAATTCCTGTTGTTTCTGTGCTGTATCTTAAAGAAATGTTTCTCATGAAGTTGCGGTCTTTTCCCCTCATCTCTCCGACAGTTTTATATAAATCATAAATAAAACAAAACTAAATACAACAGGTTTCATAGATACTTTGCAGGCTAGCGTACCTACACATATTTGAACAAATAAACAATCATCTCTGGGAAAAAAAGGTGCCTCACTGGCCTTTACAGATCAATATTTCCCTTTTTAAACCCAATCTATCTTCTTAATTCAACAACAAATAGATTATGTTGAGAACATAAGTAATGGTCATAGAGCCAATTAAACTATTTTCAGTTTTATTTTACTAGGCTCATTTCCAGTCAGTTGATCTACAATCGTTTTAGAAGCTCCACAAATCAGAAAACTCTGCTTAGCAATAAGGAAATTCTTCCCTTGTTACTAAAAATCAACATTAGTGTCACAAAAATGAAAAGATATTTAAGTAGAAATACATTTTTAAAAATAGAAAAACAGAATTTGAAAGAAAAACATTACAGGAACAGTTTTGAAGATATTTACAAGTATGTTAAAGGAAGCACAAACAGAAGCGTATTTTTGTATTGAAAAGGGGGGGGGGACAAGTATTTATCTATTCTGTGCCACACAAAATGCACTCTCTTAGTACAGTAAGGGTGGGCTTGAGACTAAGAAACAGCAGTGAAAAAGTATTGGATTAAAACAGTGTCTCATTACAGGCCCCAGAATTTCAGCCACAAATTATTATAATATTTTCTAAGCATCTCCTGTCCCTCTGTCTTCACTTAAGCAATGGATAGCTTGAGGGGTGAAATCATCTATATACGTATCTACTTCTAGTAAAAGAAACTCATTCTGATCTATAAAATAAGGCAGTCAAAAATATACATACAAAGCACCATCTTTAAGAGTTCTTTGCACTTGTGCACGTGCATGCAATACAGAAAGAGTACATTTGTGCATGCAAAGCATGCCATGGCCTCATTTGTTGAGAGTCCTGTATTTGAGGGGATTTCAAATCCTTCATATTTTCCAGATGTTATTAAAATCAGATGTGCACTTAAAACACGTTCGAAGGTAAGCAAGATAAATTGGATTTGGCTAAGTACCATTTTAATAAGCAACAGCAAAAAAGACCAGATGACAGATAGCCTGCCTGCCTTTTGGGCCTACTTGAATTTGTATTAGAGATTACTGTGTACTACAAAAAGGTACAAGGGCTATTATGAAACTTGCAATGGAAAAGATGCAAATTTGATTTTTAATTATTGGAAGCATTCAGGATCACTTTGTAGATTCAGTTGCATCACTATGCCCCTTGAACTATTTCACTAATTTATAACACATTCAGGAAGGGAGAATGAAAGAATTAAAAAAACAAACAAACAAAAAAACCCCAAACCAAACAAACCCACAACCCAAACAAAACAAAAAAAAATCCCACAAACATTAGATACAAAGAATTTTGGCTTCCTCATCTTTTACTTAATTTTAAGGTTTCACTGAAAGGCAGTATTTTCTACAGTAAAAGTGTTCCATTGTAACTAGCAAGTTGTATGACTACTGTGCCTAGAAAAAAAAAAAAAAATCAAAATCCCATGCATCTTATCATAGAAAGACAAGAAAAAAAATCAAAATCCCATGCATCTTATCATAGAAAGACAAAACATCAGCCTGCTAACAGTGATTTACAGGGCTATACTATGTAACATTACAGAAGACCACACTTTTGTCAGCCTTCAAGTGATTCTTAACAGTAAGCTTCAAATAGTTTTAGATGTAATTAAAAAAAAAAAAACCAACTATATCAAACATTTAATCTTCTAAAGCCCACATCAGATTTATCAGCACTGAGCAGGAATTACAGCTCCTGAAAAAAGTGAAAAATAATTTTCATTACACATCACAAAGCTTCCCTCTCAATAGGCAAGAAAGGAAATGCTCTTATTCACAGCCCTTCTGTTCACTAATTTAACTTTAGGCATTTATTAGAACAGTCTCTAATCTCAGTCTGACAATGAAAAGGATGGACTTACTTGAAGCTGAAACAAAACCTGTCCTCAAAACCCTTCTCTGTCAGACTTCTTTTTTGACTTACTGTTTCTCTGTTCACCAGCTGGTTATCAGGAGTTAATAGTAACTCCCTACTTCAGAAGTATGAGGGGATGCTGAAATACTATATTCATGTTTTATACGAGTAAGAACTGGCTAAAACAACTACAGTCATTTTAACAGAAGTCAGATTTACTCACTGTAATTAGCTTTAAATGACAGCAACAGTTTGTTTAAAAAATAGACGCAGCTTCCTGTCAGACCCAGTTCT